AGCTCCTTGTGAAAGAGTTCGTCCAGGGAAGTACTGCCACCTTACCTATTTCTGCCGCCAAGCAGTAATGTCAGCATTACTGTGTTCCGGTTTTGAAGGGTAAGGGTGCTGGTGAAATTACAGGCACATGGGAATTGTCAACTTACGTCTCAGGGTGACGGATACTGTGGCAGTGCCCCTAAGATCTTTGCGACCCAAAGCTCTGAGTGGTACTGCAACTGTTATGGTCAGGCGTGTAGCTTACAATCAGGCGCACGACTTGTTCGTCCCGTTACTTGAAATCATAAAAACAAATTGCAAATGTGTTAATGGCCGTTAGACGTAAGAACTTAAGTCTCATTTCCTTGTCATAGCAGTACTGGCTTCCCTACCCTTCCGTTACGCAATAATGAGACTTTGCTGTAGAAATTAGTGGGGCAGTCATACCTACCCACGCGGGTCCTGCCCAACGAACCCTTCTTCCTAACTTGCCAGCTCTATGAACTTTGTTGAAACATAATATAATGATTACAAGACTAAGAACATGCAAAGTTAAACATAATACAGAAAGTTTAATGATGTATAATAATAGTGCAGTGCTTTAAATAGAAATTCAATAATCAGCAAATATTAATATAAGTTCATAGTATATGTATAAAACATATTGATGTTGAAAGGCAAAATGGGATAAGCGACACTTTTGGTCATATTGAGTTATAGTCGTATATACCGTTGGAATCTGAAAAAATTGTTGATTCCAATGGTATATATAACTCAATATGACCTAAAGTGTCGCTTATCCCATTTTGCCTTTCAAGCGTTATGTATTAATATAATATTGATTGTAATGAATAAACACTAATATGATTTTCTACCATGACATTCATTTACTTTTTCTGAAATTACTTCTCTAGTTTGTTATAATTATTAATACAAAGTTCGAAGACAAAGAAAAATTCCATCGATCCGACTCAAACCTGCCTGTGCTACGCCAGGGCGATCGCTCCACCAACTGGCTACAGATCGAGTCGGCTGACGTTACGAATTTTTGTATGTGTTTGTTACGGACAGACGGACAGAGTGTTGGTTTTAAAGGATTTTTTGCCGTAGCGCCATTTGTGACAAATGTGTAATTTATATTCACGTAACAGTGTATTAACTCAAAAATGGCTATTTTTTCAGAATTGTTGAAAAACGAATCACTTCCCGTTAAATATTATAAAAATTAATGTATAGGCTAAAGTTTATTACGGACAAATTCCTACTTGCCAAACGTGTTTAAAAATAAAAGGGAAATTATTATTTCCCTTTTATTTATTAGGGAAATTATTATTTCCCTTTTATTTTTGAGTAGGGATTGTTTGTTCAGAACTAGCTCACAAAAAACATGTCTCATTATGATTTAAGTTGATATATTTCATGATAAATTCATGAGCTCCGTTAGTTCGTTCCGTATGGCTTAGTTGGCATAGCGTCTGTCACGGTTTGCTGGATGTTGATTCGAATCCAATGGTATCGAAGTGAATTCGTTCTATGTATTCGATCTTTGTTTAATAATTATTAAAAAGTAGTGCAGTAATTCTACAAAAAAAAGTTGAATATCATGACAGTGAAACATTACTTTTATTAACTAAAAACTTAATTACATATCTTTAATCCCCAATGAAATGTTGTGGGACATGCTAGACGAAGATCCATGGCATACACGATCTGCACCGAGACATGATAGAAAAACTAAATGACATGTACATACCGGTCCAGCTTCACAATACACTAAGTATGGCCAGTACAACCCAATGGTGTACAATAATAGAATTAGTGATATAGAATATGTCATCAAAAAAGACAGGCATAAACGTGTCAGTAAACGACGTCCCCCAAGGGAACACGTTCTGAAATAAAAAGAAAGGTATAAATTTTACGTATATATAGGACTTTTCTGTGAGCTCTAAATTAGCTACACAACATAAAATAATTGTAAAGATCTTTAAGACATATCGCATTAAGTACACACCCACTTGCGGACATAACTGTACCAAAAATGAGAAACAATAAAGAACTTTCTATTCTATTTTCAATTGTTTCTCACAATATTCTAACGACTGATTTGTTGACGTGTAGAGATTCAAATTATGCGTTCAGCAACAGTGTAATCGTGATTTTCACATATTTTGAATTAAACACTTGTACTAGCTATAGCCGTGCGATGTATAAGTAGACATAATTATGTAAGTAGAAATTTAAGCGAAATTAAGATACAAAAATGTACCAGAACTTGTCTCTTTGTTGGATTGTCTACAAAGCTACACTGAAAAAGTTATCCACTATGTAAGGCTACTTCAGACGCCGACAACATACTTGCAAATTAGTCTTGCCGAACCGAATTCATGCCGAATAATAGTTACAGCTCTACAGCGAGATACCGAGTGAAATATGTCGTTCAATTCGTACATGCCCTATACGACATACGGCTGTGAAGCTACGAAATTCTATTAGTCGTGTATTTATTGGAGTGTAAATACTTTTTTATCACTACGTAAACGACGACGTCTTTTACGTAAT